CACTGTGAAATTGTAATACTTTGGTCAAAGGAAAAAGAACTACTATCTTTTTCTTCCTATTTTCATCCTACATATTATCTTTTTTCATGATTAACATCTTTAATAATTTTCACTTTCGGTCAACACCTTTCATAATTTGAAATCTTTAAAAAACCCCAAATTAGCATCAAAGTTAAGACACAAATAAGAGGTTTGATTATTAATTTTTGAGTTTTTTACATGTTTGAAATTATGGAGAGTGTTAACTAAGAATAAAAATTCTTGAGGATATATATTGAATTTAGGAAAAAATAATGTATAAGATGCAAATAGAGAGTTTGGTCATTTTATATTTTGAAGAAAATTACTAAATGGTAGTATACATTTTTGGTAAATATTTATACAATCCTTTGGTTTATTGAAATTTTACCCTTAAACATAGTTTTGAATGTAAAATTTATTAAAATAATATAATTTTAAGGAATTTTTCTATTTAATATTTTACACATAAAGCTTTTAAACACAATGTTTTTGGACCCGGTCTGGCCCGACCGGTTGAACCGGTTCAACCGAATCCGGACCTGAAAACGGGCCGATCGACTACTTCAACCCGTTTAAGCAAATGGCCCGTTGAAACCCGTCAAACCCATCCCGCCGGTTGAACTCGTGCGACTCGCTGCAACCGGCCGGGCTGAAATTTTCATCATCTTCTCGTTCGCCAATTGTCCGCCAATCGTCTGCCGATCATCCGTCGACCGTCCGTCGATCGTCTATTCCACCGATCTTCTCGTCTGCCGATCTTCTTGTCCGCCGATGGTCCACTGATCTTCTCTTCTGCGATCATTCGCCGATCTTCTCTACCGCCAATCATCCGTCGATCTTCTTTTCCGTCGAGTGTCGCCGATCCTCTCCTTCGTCGCTGCACTTCTTCTCTTTCGCCGATCATCTTCATCTCCCTCGTCTGTTCTGCTCAAAACGATCTGTATCGTTTTCGGGTGAAACCGTGAAGGTAAGGTATAAAAGCAAAATTCAATAAAAATGCCCAAAAAAAAAGTTTTTTAGTTGACTTTAGTTGACCGGTTGAACCAATCAGGTGAACCGATTCAACCTGTTGACCTGGACCTGATGGTCAAAGCGGGCCAGCCACCGGGCCGGGTCCAAAAACATTGTTTAAACATTTAAAAAAAAAATCATATACAAGTATATGCCAATGATGTTAAAATAAATATTAATTTTTATTTTTTTATACTAGCCTCTAGTATTAAGAAGGCACACTAAACTTCTGACTAATTTGGAGTTGAGTTACATTAGATCTCAAAAGAGAGAAACTCTCTCAACACTTATTTATCTATTCATAATACTCAAACGCGATACTTTACTTAATACTTAAAAAGAATTCAACTCTTTCCATATGAATCAACAAGTTTGTTAGTAGTTTTTATTTTTTTATTTATGAAGAGAGTACATATTAGTTTCGACTTCCAAAAAAATTGGAGTTTTAA